CGGATTAATTAGTGAATCCAACTGGTTGGACGTGCGGTTTAAATTTTTTCCAGTTCAGAAGCGTATTTTTATGGATCGTAGGGTCGCTTGCCCAACCTTGTGGGTTTTCTCCGAATACCCCAGCTTCTATCCACTGCTATAGACCCCTACGTGCAAACGAATTATTGAAATGATTTAGTTTGCAACGAATGGATGTTAAGCCAGCCTGGAGGTCGGGTGTTCGATCCCTGCATTGGCCGAGAAAGTTCATCCAGATTTTCCGGCGGATTCCCCCTTGTCAGTGATGCAGGACGTGGAGGTCGGGTGTTCGATCCCTGCATTGGCCAAGAAAGTTCATCCAGATTTTCCGGCGGATTCGCAGGACGAGGGGGGGGGGGGTGTCTGACAAGGACAACACTCTAGTTGTTCGGATAGGACCAAAATAACCGAGGTTCCTTGTATACATTGGCGTGCACGTAAAATATCCCTTGACAGTTGGGATTCGATATAAGAGTAGGCCGTATTGCCGCTGTCCGGGCAAAATTCCCCTTGTGGCACACTGTATGGCGTATGCCCGTCTTCATTAGCCCAGTTCGGAGCAGAACAGTAGTAAGATAAAGCCCAATTTCATTTAATTTCTCTCTCTCTCATTGCCAATTATTAAAATAAAATTGCACCATGTTAGTCTCTGAATAACTCTTAGTTTGTGTCGAGTGGACGTTACCCCCCCCCCCCCACAGAACAATATATATTCAGTCTCTACACGCCAGTCTCATCGAAGGATTTCCCTTTTTAACGTTTTGTATGTACAACAGGCCTATTCTTGGTTGCAGGTACCGTAATGACCCAGAATCTGAATCCTCATAGAAATTTCAATTTTATTTGTAAGACATGCTTATAATCATTAGAGAATTTTGGCGGCGGTACTGAAACGTCACTATTCGACTCGTTCTTACATTTCCTACCCATGGTGATAATATAATTTGAAATAAAATAATAATATACAATCGGGAAAACCTGTATATTTTATATGCAGTATGAACCCACAGTAGGCCTAAATGAAATTCAATTATCAATGCGCGTATTCTAATGTGACCTTGAAAGTAGAGACTACATCAACTTCCGAGGCGAAAAGTCGACAGCTCGACAGCAAGCCAAAATCATAGGTCGCTAATATCGCCTTCAATACTAGACTTTATCATAACGCAAATTGCATGTATTTAAATGCGACCTGGCAAATTGTGACTACAACCACTTCCGAGGCGAAACTCGAAAAGTCGCCAGTACGACAGCAAGCCAAAATGATAGGTCGCTAGTAGCGCGTGTGTTTATTTCCTAATTTCTACTTTTCGAGATGCATTTTGGATTGGTATGCGACAATTGTCCTTGCCAGCCCCCCCCCCCCCCCCCATCCTGCATCACTGACAAGGGGGAATCCGCCGGAAAATCTGGATGAACTTTCTAAACCAATGCAGGGATCGAACACCCGACTTCCAGGCTGGCTTAACATCCACTCGTTGCAAACTAAATCATTTCAATAATTCGTTTGCACGTAGGGGTCTATAGCAGTGGATAGAAACTGGGGTATCCGGAGAAAACCTACAAGGTTGGACAAGCAATCCTACTCCCTTGTCATGTTTAAGCGGGGAATCGAAACCACACCACTTGAATCTATGTCAGACCTTGTGATTTCACGCGCACGTGTTAAACCACTAGACCACCCAATCCCCATGTATGTTGTTGTATATTGTATATATCGGTACGGGAAATTTGTTTTATAACAGGCCTATATAATAATTAAATTGTTGTAGCCTAAAGTGTGTTTTTTTTTATCAGACATTTTTGGCAGATAAAATATCCCAATTGGCGGAAAAAATATATGAACATTTTTTTTTTATATAAAAATTATTATCCATTTTGACGGAAAAGAATGAAATACAGTGTGAGCCCTGATTGCACGCATTCAAATGCGACCTGGAAAACTGAGACTACAGCAACTTCCGAGGCGAAAAGTCGCTAAAAGCGTGGTGTGTTAATTTCCTAATTTCTACTTTTCGAGTTGCATAGCTTGTATAGCGTGTTGGCGCCTTCTTACTGACATCAATAAATACAAAAATATGACTAAGTCGAAAGTCAACAAGACGGTATACAAGCCAAAATGCAAGTCGAAAATAAGAAATTAGGAAAAAAACGCTGTGTTTTTTTCTTAATTTCCTATTTTCGAGTTGATTTTGGCTTGTATAGCGTGTTGTCGCCTCACATTTTGTCGTAACTTCTACTTTTCGACTTTCGTGTTTTGAAGAGGCGAAAAGTAGAAATTATGAATGGTAGTTATAGGCTTCCATACTAACCCCTAAAAATAGAGGCATCCTAGACTTACTTCAAATTGTTGCTAGGGGTTTGGATGGCCGAATGGTTAGCAGGTGTGCACTGTATCATAAGGTCTGTCATTGAGTCAACTGGCGTGGTTTCAATTCCCCGATTGTACGTGACAAGGAGTAGGGTCGCCTGTCGAGCCTTGTGGGTTTTCTCCGGGTCCTCCAGTTTGCTACCACTGCTAAAGACCCCTGCTAAAGCAAATTATTGACATAAAATTGAACCACGTGTTAGTCCCGAAATGACAGTTTGTGTCGAGTGGACGTTAAACCCCCATTTCTATCTCCATCTCTCTCAAATTGTTGCTAAAAGTTGATTGGTAACTTAACTTTTTCATAAAGCTGTTTGCATCATTCCTGGCTAATATGACACATGACTGTCAGAGTCACAGTGTATATTATACAAATATAAGATCATAGGTGTAAGGGCTCGATGACTGTTAGGGGGGGCCGAACCCAAGATGCCCGAAAAAATTTCGGGTTTACAGACGTCGGCACCGGTCTTCCTCGAAATGGCGAAAAAGCAGAGCTTACCCTGTATGGACCCCCAAAGAAAATTTTGCAACGCAAACACGTTTTCCTGCTATTTCAGCCCGTGAGCAAAGCAATTTCAGAGTGGTCTGATATAGCCTAATTAAGATGGCTGACTCGAATATCAATCAATCCTTTACATTCCACTGAGACGGGATTGTTGGGAGGAAATTTAACTTCTGCAAACGCATTTTCCTGCTATTTCAGCCTGTGAATACAGCAACTTCAATTTGGTCCAATATAGCCTACCTGACTGACCAGAATTCCAAACAACCAATCAATCGTCCCGTAGAAAATTTTGAAAATTTAACCACCGCAAATGCGTTTTCTGCTATTCTAGCCAGTGTAAGCAACTTCAAAAGTATCCAATGGTTTTGTAACCGAAATACCATTCTGAATTCCAACCATCCAATGCAGCTGCATTCACAAATAGTATTCGATGCCGGAAAAAAGTCGCACAAAATAGAGTGGCTCCAGACAAAATGTTTTAATCCATAGCCAACAAATTCGTGGTATTCAATTAAAAGAAAAGTAAAATTAGTGTTTTATTAGGGCTTGATGACAGTTGGGGAAGCAAAACTAGAAATGCCCGAAAAAAATTCATGTTTACAGACAGCGGTGCCGGTTTTCTTCGAGAGGCGAAGAAGCGGAGCTGATCTTGTATGGACCTCCACCCCCAAGAAAATTTTGGAATATTTGACGGCCATGAACCTGTTTTTACTGCTATTCCAGCCGGTAAAATTAGTGGGTTTTTTAGATTTTGGGCACTTTATTTTGCCAAGTAGAAGAAATAATTTTTTTTTTACTTTACCCGTCTGCCCGAAAGATCAGCTTGCCCGAAAGTTAGGGGGCAGCTGCCCCCCCCCCCCCACTGGCTCGTGCGCCTATGTATAAGATGTTTTGTGTCAAAATGTGTCTTATTCTGATATACCACTATATATTATTATCTGTATTGGGTTTCCTGGCAACTTCTGTTATTATTAAATATAATATGTTTTTTTGTCCCATCCAAGTCCCCCCCCCCCCCGCACCACTGACAAGGAACCATATCGACAAGGAGATTATCTTCAACCACATAGCTTCTCAAATGCAAGATGGGGTTTAAAGTCCACTCAACACAAACTAAGTAATTTCGGTACTAAGATGTGGTATAATTTTATACCAATAATGCACTTGGGCGTAAGGATCTTTAGCAGTGGGAGGACACCGGAAAAAATCTGCTTGGGGTCAACCCTAAAAGCCTGGGATTGAAACCATGCCACTTGACTCAATGACAGACCTTATGGTCTAAACCGTACACGTTAAACCACCCAACCCAATAGGATTTCTACAAAATATGACACAAACTACTCTTATATCGAATCCCAACTGCCAAGGGTTTTTTACGTGCCCGCCAATGTGTACACAGGACCTTGGTTTTTCTTCCCACCCGAATGACTAAATATTGTTCCATGTCAGACGCTCTGTTCTGCAACTCTTACAAGGGGGAACCAGGTCGGAAAATGCTGCTGAACTTTTTACGACCTACACCAGGGTTATCAAGCCAAATCTTACTGAGCCACACCCACAAAAGTTTATCTTAGCTTTGACCATTGAAATCGAGAGCTAAAATACACCACTAGTTAGCTATACATAGTGACAGGTGTTGTGTACAAGGCAGGGTCTGCTTACACCATCTTGAACACCTGAAACCACTTGTTTGTATTTAACCAAAACAAACATGGCTGACAATTCTTGATAACAAATTTATTTTTATGGAATGTGATATAAGATATTGTTTATACAAAATATATAGACTAGAACAAGAACATCATAAGACCAGATTACCAAGTGAAATGTTAACATATTATTTATACATAATATATAGACTAGAACAATAATGCCATAAGACCAGATTACCAAGTGAAATGTTAACATATTATTTATACATAATATATAGACTAGAACAATAATGCCATAAGACCAGATTACCAAGTGAAATGTTAACATATTGTTTATACAAAACGCAACGAAACGAAACGGGGTTTAACGTCCTACTGTCATGCTCTTATACTGGGCTAATGAAGACAGGCATACGCCATACAGTGTGCTATGAGGGAAATTTTGCCCGTTTCGTCCCATCCGAACGACTAGGCCCCTGTCAGGCCCTCCGTCCTGCATCACTGACAAGGGGAAACCATGCCAGAAAATCGTGATTAACTTTCTCGGCCAATGCAGGGATCGAACACCCGACCTCCAGGCTACCGAGCCAGCGTCTTACCCACTTAGCCACGTGATCCCCCTTGTTTATACAATATATATATATAGGTTAAGTAGACTAGAACAATAACATGACAAGACAAGATTACCCCAATCTGATTCAAACACAGATCCTATTTCGTTTCGTTTTTTATAGTTCAAAATTTCGTTTTATTTGTCTTTACTTAACTAGGATCGTGAAGAGTTGTTATATTACATATGTTCAAGTTGACGTGAGGAATTAGCCAATGAAATGTTCTGTTGCAGCGAGTTCTTGGCATCTGCACAGAACTGTGTGCAAACCCCTAGAAATGTCAACGCTGATTGATTAATCAATGTCTGACGTCGTTGTAGGGTTAAAAACCGCTCGTATGTCCCCTGACACAACCTCCCATATTTATAGATCTGTATAGATCTGGTTAGCGAGCCAACATCCTACTCATTGAGCCACCACAGCTTCACAAAATATATCAGTGAAGTAGACTAGAACAATAATGTCATTAGACTAGATTATCCAGTGATATAATTAACATCACACATTTGTACAAATTATTAACATAATGTTGATATAAAATATAAAAGTTACGTAGGCTAGAATAATAATATGGCAAGATTGGATTAATTAGCCATATAATTAAGTTCACACATTACGGGACTACCACATTATTTTACTGACTACTGTTAGTAGACTAGATTAGACAGGTAACATTATTTTACTGACTATATAAATTATAATTTTAGTAGACTTGATTAGACAGTTAACATTATTTCACTCGACTATATAAATTATAACTGTAAGTAGACTAGAATATACAGGTAACATTATAGCTGTATAACACTAGACACTGTATATTTATCATGTATAGTAGACTAGAATATACAGGTAACATTAAAGCTGTAGTACAATGTCTAGTAGACTAGAACATACAGGTATCATTAAAACAATTACAATATTCATATACATGTTGTAAAATATGCTACATAGATCCAAGTTTGAATATTGGACAATGCTGCTTTATCATTGGAGAACATTTGATACAGCTTTATTATTCTGGTAGGTAACATTGAGATGATAGTGATAGTATTACAATTGATACCAGTTCATTATTGAGATTGCAGTGATAGTATTAAGACTGATACCATTACATTATTGAGATGATAGTGATAGTATTACAACTGATACCATTACATTATTGAGATGATAGTGATAGTATTACAACTGATACCATTACATTATTGAGATGATAGTGATAGTATTACAACTGATACCATTACATTATTGAGATGATAGTGATAGTATTACAACTGATACCATTACATTATTGAGATGATAGTGATAGTATTACAACTGATACCATTACATTATTGAGATGATAGTGATAGTATTACAACTGATACCATTACATTATTGAGATGATAGTGATAGTATTACAACTGATACCATTACATTATTGAGATGATAGTTATAGTATTACAACTGATACCATTACATTATTGAGATGATGGTGATAAGTTGTGATAGAGAGTTTTATAACAGATACTATTTTTTTTTTTTTTTTGCTTGTAATAATTTAACCTTTTCTTCTGATTGGACAGATGAACGCTTACAATAATCTAAAGGTGTTTTTTTATTTTTATTTTTACTGTTGATATCAATACCTATTCCCAGCAGATATTCAACAGTTTCAAGTTTACCATCTAAACATGCCCTGTGTAATGTATTATTATTATAACTATCTCTATCATCTATATTACCCCCCTTAGTAAGAATCAGTTTTAGTTTAGCTACAGGTTCTATTTTAGATGAACTACAAAATAATATAGGCGACATGTTATAATCTCCTCTACTGTGTATATCAATACGTTGTTGTAATATAAATTCTACTGTTTCTAGTATACCAGATAAACATGCCAGATGTAAAATATTTCTATTAACATTATCTTTATCATCTATATTACCTCCCTTAGTAAGAATCAGTTTTAGTTTAGCTACAGGTTCTATTTCCGAAGAACTACAAAATAATATAGGCGACATGTTATAATCTCCTCCTCTACTGTGTATATCAATACATTGTTGTAATATAAATTCTACTGCTTTTGGTATACCATATAAACATGCCAGATGTAAAATATTTCTATTAACATTATCTTTATCATCTATATTACCTCCCTTAGTAAGAATCAGTTTTAGTTTAGCTACAGGTTCTATTTCCGAAGAACTACAAAATAATATAGGCGACATGTTATAATCTCCTCCTCTACTGTGTATATCAATACATTGTTGTAATATAAATTCTACTGCTTTTGGTATACCATATAAACATGCCAGATGTAAAATATTTCTATTAACATTATCTTTATCATCTATATTACCTCCCTTAGTAAGAATCAGTTTTAGTTTAGCTACAGGTTCTATTTTAGATTGACTGCAATACAATATAGGTGACTTGTTACACTGCCCTATACTGTGTATATCTATAGCTTGTTTTAATATAAATTCTACGGCTTCTAGTATACTATATAAACATGACAGGTGTAAAATGTTTCTATTAACATTATCTCTATCATCTATATTACCCCCCTTAGTAAGAATCAGTTTTAGTTTAGCTACAGGTTCTATTTTAGATTGACTGCAAAATAATATAGGCGACATGTTATAATCTCCTCCTCTACTGTGTATATCAATACATTGTTGTAATATAAATTCTACGGCTTCTAGTATACCAGATAAACATGCCAGATGTAAAATATTTCTATTAACATTATCTCTATCATCTATATTACCCCCCTTAGTAAGAATCAGTTTTAGTTTAGCTACAGGTTCTATTTTAGATTGACTGCAACACAATATAGGTGACGTGTTATACTCTCCTCTACTGTGTATATCAATATCTTGTTGTAATATAAATTCTACTGCTTCTAATATACCATATAAACATGCCAGATGTAAAATATTTCTATTAACATTATCTCTATCATCTATATTACCCCCCTTAGTAAGAATCAGTTTTAGTTTAGCTACAGGTTCTATTTTAGATTGACTGCAACACAATATAGGTGACGTGTTATGCTCTCCTCTACTGTGTATATCAATACCTTGTAATATAAATTCTACTGTTTCTAGTATACCATATAAACATGCCAGATGTAAAACCTTTCTATTAACACTATCTTTATCATCTATATTACCTCCCTTAGTAAGAATCAGTTTTAGTTTAGCTACAGGTTCTATGTGTGATAGACTACAGTACAATATGGGAGACATGTTGTTCTTATCCAGCTGATTCACATCATGCCCAGTATCAATTAGATATTTTACATCATTTATATTACCGTTTTGACATGCGAAGTGTAATGTTAAATATATGGATCCTGGTTTACTTCCAGTACCAGATGAGACACAATCATCAGTTATGTCACTTGAATTGATGGTAGTTGTCTGTTGTAGATCTGTAAAACTGGTGGTAGTTGTCTGTTGTAGATCTGTAAAACTGGTGGTAGTTGTCTGTTGTGTATCTTTAAAACTGGTGGTAGTTGTCTGTTGTGGATCTGTAGAACTGGTGGTAGTTGTCTGTTGTGGATCTGTAAAACTGGTGGTAGTTGTCTGTTGTAGATCAGTAAAACTGGCGGTAGTTGTCTGTTGTAGATCTGTAAAACTGGCGGTAGTTGTCTGTTGTGGATCTGTAAAACTGGCCGTAGTTGTCTGTTGTGGATCAGTAAAACTGGCCGTAGTTGTCTGTTGTAAATCTGTAAATATACCAACACCTGTTATAAATAAACAAGTTATAGATTTCATCATGTCCTCTGGTTTGTGTACAAATTTCAAATAATCTTAAAGATGCACTATGTAAGAGTTAAAGAATTGTCAGTTTATGACTCAATAATTCAAAATAGAAAATGAAAGATAGTGCTGAATATGCCGACACAGCAGCTTTGCCTCAACTGCAGCTTATCCTAGAGGAAAACTTGGATGTTGAGCAATTTTGAAAAAATCTTATCATCCTCTTATGACCCCATTGCTTTCAAATTTTTTTTTATTAAACCTATTGTTTTTATTGGTTTTTGGAAAAAGGAGGGTAAGTCAGGACTATGAAAATCGATAGGGATTGATTGCCCCAATGCTTCAAGCCAAATATTGGAAAGAGCCATTAAAAACTCTAGCCTCTACTCTATTGCGTTGACCTACGGACCAACGGGCACAGTGACGACACAGGTGTATAAAAACAAGCCAACAAAGCGGCTGATGTCCATGGCCAAAATCCCAAAATAAATAGATTATCAACTATACACTAAGTTTCATCACTCTCTATCAGATAGAATCAAAGTTATCTTGTCCAAAAGCATCGACCAATGAAATTGCTTAGCTCTGCTTAGCTTTAGCTCGAAATGTTAATCATTGAACTCAGCCAAGATATTCACCTAATGAACATCTACATCAATTTTAAACAGTCTACCTTAATTAAAAGCAGAGTTGTTGTGTTCCAAAGTCTTGACAAATTAAATTGCTTATCACCCCTTAGCCTAAGCAGAAAATTCGCACCGTCGAACTTAGTCAAGGTAATGAATCTATTTTGGAATTTCATCGCTCTTACTTCATTATAACCAAATTTATTGTTCCCCAAAGCATCAACCAATCAGATTGCTTATCTCTGCTTACCATAAGCAGACATTGTTCATCATTGAACTCCATCAAGGCATTCCCCTAATGAACGCCTAGACCAAGTTTGAACATTCTATCGCAATTAGAAGGAGAGTTATTGTGTTCCAAAGTCTCGACCAATCAAATTACTTATCACTCTGTTTACACTCAGCAGAAAGTGCTCATTGTCGAAATTAGTCAAGGTATTGATGTAATAAAGCTATACACCAAGTGTCCTCACTCTCACTTTATTAGAACTAAAGTTATCGTGTTGCAAAGCATCAACCAATCAAATTGCTTATCTCTGCTTACCCTAAGAAGAAAATTCTCATCTTCGAACTCCATCAAGGCATTCACCTAATAGACATATACGCCAAGTGTGAACATTCTAACTCAATTAGAAAGAGAGTTATTGTGTTCCAAAGTTTCGACCAATCAAATTGCTTATTGCTCTGCTTACCCTGAGCAGACAATGCTCATCATCGAACTTAGTCAAGTTATTGATGTAATGAACCTATACACCTCGTTTTATCACTTTCACTTAATTGTAAATGATCTCCTTTGCTCTATGGATGATTCCAGATCCTCATTTTTAGTGATGTTAGATCAAAGTGCCGCCTTTGACACGATAAATCAGGATATCTTACTACATAGATTCAAAAATATGTATGGAATATGCGGTTCTGCTTTGAATTGGCTAAATTCTTACTTCAAAAATCGAACTCAAACTGTATGTTTAGCAGGGATATTATCTCATCCACAGGAACTAATCCCCCCTGTTTCCTGTAGTTAAAGAATATGATATTAATATGCATATGTATGCGGACCACACACAGATGTATGATTCATTCGGAAAGGGTGACTGTGCTGCTGTTCTGCATAATCTTGAGGATTGTTTGGAATCTGTTAGAGAATGGGTGTATGGTGGTTGGAAATACACGACAAAGACATCCAATGTCTGTTAAAATTGGATCCGCGATCGTAGCTGAAAAAACTTCAGCTCGGAATATTGGTGTCATATTGGACAATTCACTGACTCTATCTAAACATATTAACTGTGTAACACATTCATGCTATCAGCAACTACACAAGATTGGTCAGATCCGAGCTTATCTGACTGAAGAGGCAACATCGTCATTGGTGAGATGCCTAATACTGTCGAAGCTGTACTATGCTAATGCACCAGACTATATCAAAGAGATGATCAAGAAATACAACCCAAATCGAAATCTTAGATCAACTTCGCTCAATGTACTTCCAGAAAAACGCTCGAAACTGAAACGTAGTGGAGATCGAGCCTTTTCTGTATCCGCCCCGAAATTATGGAATGTGCTACCAGAAACCATTAGATCAAGCAAGACCGTAGACATTTTTAAAACCAATTTAAAACTCATTTCTACAACCACGCGTATCAGTAATTAAATGTATATATTATAATTTGACACATGTCGGGCAATGTGATATCATGATTGTAAAGCGCTTAGAGCATCTTAGGACGATTAGGCGCTATATAAATGGCTTATTATTATTATTATTATTCTATTAATTAGAACTAAAGTTATAGTGTCCAAAACATAACCAATCAAATTGCGTATCGCTCTGCAGAAGGCAAAAAAGGCTCATCTTCGAACTCCATCAAGGAATTGACCTAATAAACACCTACACCAAATTTGAACATTCTACCTCAATTAGAAAGAGAGTTATTGTGTCCGGACGGACGGACGGACAGACAGACAGACATACCGACCCATTTTAATAGTCCCCTGGAATATTTAAATTTGTACTATTACCTTTCAGTGTTTGGTTGAGCTCTTTGATCTGGTCTTTAAGTTCATTGATTTCACAGTCTTTTTCTTTTTGTGTCCTCGATATTTGGTCTGTCATTTTTTTGACTTCAAAATCTGTTTCTTTTTGTAACATTGAACATTGATCTTTCAGCTCCCTGATTTCATGCTGTTGTTTTTGTGACTTTGATAGCAGGTCTTGGTAACTTTTTTCATCTATATCAAATGAAATGAAATGAAATGGGGTTTAACGTCCTACTGTTTTGCTCCGAACTGGGTTAATGAAGACTGGCATACGACATACAGTGTACTATAAGTTTCATCTAAATGGACAAATAATATCGTCTCTGGAGAATACACAGACCTTGTACATATTTCGCATTTGAGTAAAAGGTAAGGGGCATAACTCCATCACAGAAGGTCCGATGCACACCAAAATCAAATTGATCTGAGAACCTTTGCTCCTTAACACTATTTACGGGGGTGCACATATTACATGCTTTACACTATTTGTAGTGGAACGGCCATTTTGACAGGAACATTTGGTCCAATTTTAACCAAATTCAAATTTAATCATGGTCATGGTGTTACAGTGATATATTTAAATGACTTTCAAATAAAAGTTGTGACTGCTAGAGGGTTCACCAGTTAAAAACAAATCTTAACTTATAATCCAGAAAGTTACGGTCCGATGTGTGCTAATATCGAAAGGAATTAAGATCCATGGGATATAAAGTTATAAACATACCTTTAAAGTTTCATTAAATTCGAATACAACTTGTTACCTCTAGATGGTCAACAAGCCAAAAAAGGTGTGACAGACACTAACTATGAGAATGTTAGCTGTTAAAACATGCTATTTCCTACATTCAGAATTCTAGAATATACCAATTTGTTTGGTTTATCAGTTGGAAAAATAACATTAAAGATAGTGAAAAATAACATTAAAGATAATGAACTCATTTTCCCTCTTAAGCCCTGGTGACGTCACTATAACCTTTATTGACAGAGCTATCGATAAGAAACCTTATCTCTCAACCCTTCCTGTTTCCAGATAAGAGATGGTGCTATATAGTTTCAAGTGGCAAACCCCCAATGCTAATAACATCCAGATTCAAAGAAGCAATATTGACCATTTTTTCTTCAAAACAATGATTGATTATTGTTTTTTATAACATTTCTATCACATCCAACTACAATTAGGCAGAAGATCCTACCTGACACGGCTAGACCTACAAATCCTCTTTTTAAATCGAAGCTATAATAGATTTAAATTTATGTCTTGAACGCATAAAATAGGCAGGGCCTCAGGTATAATAGCCAATAAAAGTATTTACCTGATCCAAGTTGCACTGGAGTAATGCACCGTAATTATGAATGTCTGTATCAATTTTAATAAAAACATGCTTGATTTGCTTTATTGTCAATATTTTCTGTTTCAGTAGATTGGGCTGCGTATGTCTAATAATATAAAATTAACTCATTTTTAAGACGTCACATGTATTAATAAAGAATGTAAAAATATGCCACGGTACCTATAACTGGTTTACACCCACCATCAGCCTACTTACGATGGCCAAAGTGCAGGCAGATGGGTCAAGGGGTGATTCCCCTGCACAGTCAAGTGTAATTTTATCACTATATATTATAAGGGTACTTAATTATCAACCACTCTGTTCTTGGGTCCTTTTAACTGCCACAACACCAAATCCTATCAAATACCGGTTATACCATCCAAATCAGCATATGATAGAGTCTTTTTTATTTCTTATCCAAGCACATGCATTGGCCCAGTCCATTATTAAAACTAGCCCAGTCCATTATTGACACAAATTCATAAGAAAGGGACCCTCCGTGGGAAAATCCATTTAACCCCAAAAAATGCCACTGCCCCACCCAGGCTTTATGTGCACTCAAGATGGAAAGCAACATAAAAACAGTTAAATTAAAATTGAATTCCAGGGATAAAAATCCCCTTACAAGCCCCCCCCCCCCTACCTCTCTGGATCCGCCCCTGATTGGGCACTACTAATTGAGAATGACCGTCCGGGTCTTTTCTATACAAAATTTGATTTTCATCTAAATATAAGTTCTGATTGATCCAATAACTTTTAGAGGCAGGACTAGCTAGAAATAATTCACCCTCCCCTGGTTCTATTTTATTAATCATCCAATTTAACAGAATAGCCAAATCTGAATCTAACTTTTGGCCTTGTTGGATTTCTTCTTCAAATTTGCCTGATAAGTTAAAATTTGGGGATGGCCCTGCGTATTTTTAGTAGAAACTATTAAAGCACAAGTTGTTAACAATCCATCTAAATCAGTAGTACCAAGATTTTCATTAGTTTTGTCTTGCCATTCCCCTTTAAAGCTATTTAGGTCAATATCAATAGTTGGTTTACTATTAATGAAAAGGACAGCTTCCTCGACACTAATTTGATATTCATACCAATTTTCAGGGGCTCTAATACAATACACTAAACCTCGAGTAAATCCGATTCGTATAAGCCGGATCTTCGCTCAACTCGGATCAAAATGATCGGTCCATTTGATCTAATTCCGGCTTTTTTTCTTCGCTCGAGTCGGATCGGCAGTGTGTTTAGAATTTGACTAAGCCAGTATCGTACCGACGTTTTAAAATGCAGTTAGGTATTCCATGCACAGAGCCCCAATATACTTTCCCCTATCATTTTGACTATTTGACGCGATGCAATATAGAACTTTCCCAGAAAATTCTAAACTCGCTGTCTGCTGTACGAGACGCACAATACTAGATCTTTGTACGATCTGAGAAATATAATTCTCTAGGGTTGGGGTTCGGGTTAGGTTTATAATTTACATGTCAAGCGTACAATTTAAAGCTGTAACAACGGTGGATTGTGGGCTGAAGGGTTAGGGTTAGAATTGTGGGTATAAACACGGAAAGATATTTCTCAGATCGTATTTGAATGTTTTGAACCTGGTCGATATTTTACAGTCATATCATATTGGACAAGTTCTCCCATCAACCTAGCTAACTGAGAATGCCTAAATTGACAGGTAAATTGAACAACCGCAAGTAATTCTTTACGTATTGTACAATAACGCTGCGGTTCAGGAGTTAGAGAAAAAATTGAATAGGCTATTACTCTCTATTGCCCATCTTGAACCTGATTTAATTCCGCGACTACTGTGAAATTACTCGTGTCAGTATCCAAAACAAAAGGGTTGCTTTTTTTGTTTTTTTTCTGAACAATATTTATTCACAGAAACTGGATTGGAGAACAGGCAGAAGCCTATAGACCTCGCCAGGATCAGTTTGATTAGGTAAAGCTAAAACTGGGGTAGTTATCAAAGCAGTCTTTATATTTTCAAAAGCATTCTGCTGCACCTCCCACCGATAAAAAAGTGTTTTTTTTATCTGGGATAAGAGTACACAGCCAGCGCCTTCTCTGCATAGCCTTTTAAAAATACTCGGTGATAATTAGCAAAACCCAGGTATTTTTTACCTGCAAGATACACTACGGAAACAGCCAATCTTATACCGGTGCTGTGTGCTTGATCACCCATTTTTACTCACAATACGGCCTAGGAAATCTACCTCTTGCCTGAACAGTTCACACTTTTTTGGCTTCATTCTAACCCATATTGACGGAAATGGGAGAGAACCGTTCTAAAATTGACCATGTGTTCTTCAAATTTTTGACCCATAATTAGCACATCATCGATAAAAGCCAACGAAATGTTCCTATTAAGGCCCTGTAAGACTAAATTAGCCACGCGAGAATAGTAACTAGGGGCTGTTGGCCAAACTAAACAGCATACGTTTGATCTCGAATAGCCCAAATTTAGTTAAAAATGCAGTTTTCTTTTGATCTTCGGGTTTTACTTAAATCTGCAGAGTTCGCATCTAATGGGTAACGGACATGCATCATTAGTCGTAACTGGGTTAAGAGCTCGATAATTAATACACCATCTTACATTTCCGTCAGATTTGCGTATATCAATACTGGGGCCGACGCCCAATCCGAAGTGGAAGGTTCAATAACACCTACTTTCAACATTTTCTTTAAATGGGCTTCCTCCTCCGAAACATAACACAGGAAACGAATCTCCTAGGGGAATAGGAAGTATTGACACTTCCAACCTCATAGGCTTTACCAATTATGTCATTAGATTTTGACGCATTAATCAAACATATCGTGGGATAATCAGTATTCGAATGAAGAGTATGACCAATAAGTACCTGTTCACTTTCTATAGGCTCTATCATATAATCTTTTAATGTCCTATCCATTTTACAAGGTAGACGAGTGACTGGCCTAGCCGTAATAATAGTTTTAGTAGGGATCATAACCTGGGCAGTAAATGGGGTACTATCAGTATTAATTAAATGTAGGCCTTAGTCTTGTTACTATGGGTATAGTCTCATCACCTACTATTATACACTCATGTACTAGGTCAATAATAACTTTCCATTTTGTAAGAAAATTTAAGCCAAGTCCAGCTGTATCGGCTATTGGGGCTACATAAACATTATCCATGAACGTAAAAGACCCTATTCGGAGAGTAACGGAATCAGTTAAGAAACCAGGAAATGTCATGTTTTCCGCTGCTGCATGTATTGTGATATCCCTAAGTTTGGGTGGCCTAATTTCTATTCGATCAGGCGATATTATAGTACAATCCAAACGAGTGTCGATCATGACTCAGTAACTAAGTTTTCTATTGTTAAAGAGACTCTATATGCAATAACAGAGGATAATCTAGCAACAGAAATTTCATCATCAGGCTTAGAAACACTATCACTCCTCCCAACCTTGGATATAGGGGCAATGTCAATATGACATTTGTCTACAGGTTCAAGTAGGGGTGCTTGTTTCAGGTTTGGGCCTTGTTTAACAGGGATTGCGGGAGGGACTACTGCCTCGACCCCCTGATTGTTTAAATTACCATTTAAATGTTCCATTGTAGAGGGAGGTTTAAATTACCATTTAAATGTTCCATTGTAGAGGGAGGTAGTCGCGAATCGGGAGGTCGCAAATGACATTCACACTTATAATGACCAACCTGTCCATATCCGAAACATGTTACACTTGTCCTATAAGGTGAAGGGGGGGGGGGGCTTCTCCTATTCAAAGCTAAAATTAAAGTGGCTATCATATCCTTTTCATCTGACCTATTTCGGACTCCTCTTTAGGTTTCTCAGGAGTGGCCCTAACATTTAAACTGGGAGGTTTAACTTGATTATGCATAGGCAAAGGACTAGTCCTACGTACACAGGAATATACAGGACTATACTCTATACTCCCCCACTGTTTGCATGTGCTTGAGGCAACTCCCTAAATCCTACTTGAGAGGGACTGGGTGATCTTGACTCGGGGTAATAATAAGTTCGACTAACACGAGGAGATCGTGGGTCTTTATATATTCGTTGAGGTAGAGAGGATCTAGATTGACGAGACGTAATCTTAGCCGAATCATAGTCATCCTGCCTAACTGTCCGTGGAAAATTCTCTGTCTCGGGCAAATTAAGGGATCTTACTTCTCTATTTCCCTCGGGATAACCACTACCCCTATTCCTATACGATTTAGATTTTAATGGAATAACACTATTGACATGAGTGAACTACTGCAACCATTCAACCGCTTCGTCGATGTCAATTTTAATTAAAATCTTAAACATCCAGAAACCAATTTCAAAACTGATTGTCCAGCTATAAAATCATCCGACGATAAATCAGAGTAAGCCCGTAATGCTTACTGTTGCACACGGTCACCCCAATCCCGTATCGACACCTTGGGTTGCAGTCTGAAACTCAACTTGAACTGCCCCGGGAATAGTTTGACCTCCGTTTTTGCATCATTTCTAAAGTCGTTTTGAAATTCAGGTGAGGAAATCTCTGATGTATCCGTTAAACAATAACATAGACAATTCTTACACCGAGAGCTATGAGACCCCCAGGGCTGGGACGAGGCAAAACAAATAAACTATCACAAAAAGTATCCCAACTTCTATCTGATTTCCCATTATAAACCAAGAAACGAGGGATAATTGAAGGGTTAAAGGAAACTTCCCTTGTTTGATATCTAGTGTCATGTCTTACAAACCTATCCTCCCTTTCAAATGTATTGGGGTAAGGGTGTGGTTCCTTACTTCACACACCTTGTCTCGGGTACAAGCGGGGTTGCATCATCCGTGACCGCGGATAATCCAAACATATATCTG